CCCCCAGAACCATCGGGGGCTTGGTGTCACCTCAAATGTCACTTGGGGACCCACCTGTGTCCTTCCAGCCCCGACCCCCGGCAGGACAGAAGGGGAAGGGGGGATGGAGAAGAAATGGGGGGGGTTCGGGGTCCCTTGGGGACACCATCCTGCTCCTGGGGACACTGTCCCTCCCATGGGGACATCATCTGGTCCATGAGGACACCATCCTGCCCTTGGGGACACCATCTCTTCCCTGGGGACACCATCCTGCCCTTGGGGAGACCATCTCTCCCCTGGGGACACTGTCCCTCCTGTGGGGACATCATCTGGTCCATGAGGACACCATCCTGCCCTTGGGGACACCATCTCTCCCCTGGGGACACCATCTCTCCCCTGGGGACAGTGTCCCTCCTGTGGGGACATCATCTCTTCCATGAGGACACCATCCTGCCCTTGGGGACAGCATCTCTCCCATGGGGACACCATCTCTTCCCTGGAGACACCACCATGCCCTTGGGGACACCATCCCTCCCCTTGTCCTGCCCCTGGGGACACTGTCCCTCCCATGGAGACACCATCTGTCTCCTGGGGACACTGTCCTGCCCTTGGGGACACCATCCCTCCCCTTGTCCTGCCCCTGGGGACACTGTCCCTCCCATGGAGACACCATCTGTCTCCTGGGGACACTGTCCTGCCCTTGGGGACACCATCCCTCCCCTTGTCCTGCCCCTGGGGACACTGTCCCTCCCATGGAGACACCATCTGTCTCCTGGGGACACTGTCCTGCCCTTGGGGACACCATCCCTCCCCTTGTCCTGCCCCTGGGGACACTGTCCCTCCCATGGAGACACCATCTGTCTCCTGGGGACACTGTCCTGCCCTTGGGGACACCATCCCTCCCCTTGTCCTGCCCCTGGGGACACCATCCCTCCCCCGGGGACACCATCTCCCCCCTGGGGACATCGTCCCTCCCCTGGGGACACCACCCCCCCTGTCCCCCCTGCCCCCCCTCTCACCGTAGCGCAGGTTGCAGCGCACGAGCTGTCTCTGCCAGGGCTGGCGGGAGCCCAGAGCGTGGGCCTGGCGCAGGGACCGACGGGCCCCCCCGAAATCACCCAGGCTCAGCAACACCTGGGGGGGACAACACGTCAGGGGGGCACCAAACCCCCAGGGTGGGAGAAGGAGATGGGGGAATCCCCAAAAACCCCCAAACTCAGCCAGACCTGGGGGTGACAACAGGGTTGGGGGGGGACACAATCCATCTATGGGGCCACCAAACCCCTGGTGGGGTTGAAGCCCCAAATCCCCCAAACTCAGCAAGACCTAGGGGTGACAGCAGAGTCGTGGGGGTGACACAACCCATCAGTGGGGCCACCAAACCCCTGGTGGGGAGGAAGCCCCCAAATCCCCCAAACTCAGCAACACCTGGGGGGGGAACAGGGACACACAACCCATCAGTGGGGCCACCAAACCTCCAGGATGGGAGAAGATGATGGGGGAATCCCCAAAAACCCCAAACTCAGCAAGACCTGGGGGTGACACAACCCATCAGTGGGGCCACCAAACCCCTGGGGGAGAAACAGGGAGGGGGGGAACCCCCAAATTCAGCAAGACCTGGGGGTGACACAACCCATCAGTGGGGCCACCAAACCCCTGGTGGGGTTGAAGCCCCAAATCCCCCAAACTCAGCAAGACCTGGGGGTGACAGCAAAGTCATGGGGGTGACACAATCCATCAGTGGGGCCACCAAACCCCCTGGTGGGGTTGAAGCCCCAAATCCCCCAAACTCAGCAAGGCCCGGGAGTGTCAGCAAAGTCATGGGGGTGCCACAATCCATCAGTGGGGCCACCATACCCCCTTTTTTGGTTGAAGCCCCAAATCCCCCAAACTCAGCAAGACCTGGGGATGACACAACCCATTTATGGGGCCACCAAACCCCTGGTGACGTTGAAGCCCCAAATCCCCCAAACTCAGCAAGACCTGGGGATGACACAACCCATTTATGGGGCCACCAAACCCCTGGTGGGGAGGAAGCCCCAAAATGCCCCAAACTCAGCAAGACCCGGTGGTGACAGCAAAGTCATGGGGGTGACACAACCCATCGGTGGGGCCACCAAACCCCTTGGGGGAGCAGGAGGAGGGTGTGTGTCCCCCCCTTTTTCCTCACCTGGCCGGTGCTGGCGCAGCACTCGCTCTCCAGGCCCTTCTCCTTCATCCTGCGGGCGCAGTCGCGGGCCCGGGCCAGGCAGCGCAGGGCCCCCGAGGGCTCCCCCTCCCGCAGCTGGATGTTGCCCAAGTTGAAGTAGGCGCGATACAAATCCTCCAAGAGCTGGCCCTGCCTGGAGAAAAAACACCTTTAGGTCCTGTTTTTGTGTGTGTCCCCCCTAAAATCCACCCCTCTGACCCCCTTACTCGGCGAGGAAGATGCTTTTCCTGATGTAGTGGTCGCACTTGGCCGGTTCCTTCAAGCTGTCGTAGACCAACCCAAGGTTGAGGTAGAGACGGGTCCTCATCTCCCTCAGCTCCCGGTGGGGAACGGTTCCTGGGGGGTGGAGGGGGGAAAAATGGGGGTGTTGGGAGGTGGGGGGGGTCCTGGAAGGCCCAAGGAACCCACCAGTGGGACTGGGCAACCCACCAGTGGGACTGGACAACCTACCAGGTGGCCCAAGGAACCCAGTAGGGACTGGGCAACCCACTGGTGGGCCCAGGCAACCCACCAGGGGGTTCAAGGAACCCAGTAGGGACTGGGCAAACCACCGGTGAGCCCAGGCAACCCACCAGGTGGCCCAAGGAACACAGTAGGAACTGGGCAACCCACTGGTGAGCCCAGGCAACCCACTGGTGGGCCCTGGCAACCCACCAGGGGACCCAAGAAACCCATTAGGGACTGGGCAACCCACTGGTGGGCCCCAGCAACCCCTCAGAAGGATCAGGGAACCCAGTGGAGTGACCAAAGAACCCATTATGGACTGGGCAACCCACCGGAGCTCCCCGCCATCACCGGGCTGTCCCTTCCAAGGTCTCCCAGCCCCAACCTCACCTTCCAGTTTCTCCTCCACGATGGCCAGACTGGTGAGGAAGGCCTCCTCGGCCTGGCGCAGGGCCGGGGCCGCCTCCTCCGGCGACCGGCTGTCGGCCACGAACATGTAGGTCCTACCGATGGTGGCCCAAGCCCGTTGTTGTTCCGTCTCATCCGAGAGGGATCGGGCCAATTCCAGGTGTCTCCGTTGGTGCTACGGGGAGGATGGAAGAGGAGAAAGACGTTGAAACCATCTCCTCCCTCCTCGCACTGTGGACAACCCCCCATCCCACCCCAAAAAATAAGAGGACATCCCCCCAAAAAACCTCATTTTTACTTTTAGGGCTGCCTCGTAGTTCTCCAGCTCGGCCAGGCGCTCCCCGATCTTGCGGTGAGCCACGGCGCAGCCGATGCTGTCCCCAACCCCCTCCAGAAGCCGCAGCTCCTGCCGATGCTCCTCCAGAGCCTCCTCGTAGCGTCCTGCAGAGAGGAGAAGTTGGGGTTATTAAAGGTGGGGGGGGCTTCCCCAGCACCCTAAATTTTCCATGGTGAAGCGACTCGGTCGGTAGATAAGGGATGACCCATGGATGAGATCTGTCTGGACTTCTCTGAGGTCTTCAACGCCGTCCCACCACAAGATGGTTCAAGGATTGGAGCATCTCCCTGATGAAGAAAGGCTGAGAGAGCTGGGGCTCTTGAGTCTGGAGGAGAGGAGGAGAGACCTTCTCAATGCTGACAAGTATCTCAAGGGTGGGTTGTCTTCTCCAAGTGAGAAGACAACGGGCAACGGGCACAAGTTGGAACATAGGAGGTTCCACTCAAATATGAGGAAGAAACCTATGGATGAGATCTATCTGGACTTCTCTAAGGTCTTCAACACCGTCCCACCACAAGATGGTTCAAGGATTGGAGCATCTCCCTGATGAGGAAAGGCTGAGAGAGCTGGGGCTCTTGAGTCTGGAGAAGAGAAGGCTCAGGGGAGACCTTCTCAATGCTGACAAGTATCTCAAGGGTGGGTTGAAGGAGGAGGGAGCCACCCTCCTCAGTGGTTCCCAGTGAGAAGACAACGGGCACAAGTTGGAACATAGGAGGTTCCTCTCAAATCTGAGGAAGAACTTCTTTGGGGTGAGGGTGGCAGAGCCCTGGGACAGGCTGCCCAGGGAGGGTGTGGAGTCCCCTTCTCTGGAGATTTTCAAGCCCCACCTGGATGCTCCTGAGTAACATGCTCTGACAAGCTCTAGGCAATCCTGCTTTAGCAGGGGAGCTGGACCAGATGATCTCCATGGTCCCTTCCAACTCTCAAAATTCAGTGAAATTCAGTGAAAACATCCCGTTGGCCAAACTGGAGGGGTAGGGATTGGGTGGGTGGACGAGGGGATGGAGTCCACCCTCAGGAAGTTCACAGATGACACCAAGTTGGGTGGGAGCGTGGACCTGCTGGAGGACAGAGAGGCTTTGCAGAGGGATCTGGAGAGGTTGGATGGATGGATGGGCTGAGACCAATGGGATGAGTTTCAACAAGACCAAGTGTTGTGTCCTGCCCTTGGGTCCCACCAACCCCAGGCATCTACACAGGCTTGGAGAAGAATGGCTGGAGCTGCCTGGTAGAAAAGGACCTGGGGGTGTTGGTCAACTGTGGGCTGAAGATGAGCCAGCAGTGTGCCCAGGTGGCCAAGAAGGCCACCAGCATCCTGACCTGTGTCAGGAACATCACCAAGAGGTGATGGTCCCCCTGTCCTGGGCACTGGTGAGGCCCCACCTCAAGGGCTGTGTCCAGTTTTGGGCCCCTCACCACAAAAAAAAAGACACTGAGGTGCTGGAGCAGGTCCAGAGAAGGGCAACGGAGCTGGTGAGGGGTCTGGAGAAGAAGTCTGATGAGGAGAGGCTCCTCTCCCAAGTCCCAGGAGATAGGACAAGGGGAAATGACCTCAAGTTGCACCAGGAGAGGTTCAAATTGGAGATTGGGAAACATTTCTTCATGGAAAGGGTCATCCAGCCTTGGAATGGGCTGCCCAGGGAAGGGGTTGAGGCACCATCCTTGGAGATGTTCAAAAGATGGGTTGACATGGTCCTCAAGAATATGGTTTGGTGATTTCTTAATTGCTTATTTCTTAATTTTTGGTCAGAGTTGGGTTGATGGTTGGACTAGATGATCTTGAAGGTCCCTTCCAACCTAGACCATCCTATGTGGGCTGTTCCATGGATAACGAACTGGCTGGATGGTGGCATCCAGAAGGTGATATTCCATGGCTGGATGGAGGTCCAGATGGAGAGCGGTGACACGTGGTGTCCCTCAAGGGTCCACGCTGGGACCAAGAGTGTTGAACTTTTTTATCAATGGGGTTTGCACCATCAGCAAGTTTGGGGACGACACTAAGCTGTGTGGTGGTGTCCATACACCAGAGGGACGGGATGTTCATCCAGAAGGACCTGGACAGGCTGGAGAGGTGGGCCCAGGTGAACCTCATGAGAGGTTCACCACAAGTGGAAGGTTCTTCTGCACCTGGGCTGGAATAATGGTCCTTATCAGCACAGACTGAGGGGTGAGGTGGTGGAAAGCAGCCCTGAGGAAAGAGACTTGGAGGTTCTGGTGAAGGAGAAGGTGGACATGAGCAGACAGTGGGCACTTGAAGCCCAGAAGGTCAATCCCATCTTGGGTTGCATCAACAGAAGAGTTGCCAGCAGGTCCAAAGAGGTGATTCTTCTGCTTTACTCTGGTGAGACCTCACCAGGAGCCCTCAGTAGAGGAAAGACCTGATGGAGAAGGTCCAGAGGAGGACCACGAGGACAATCAGGGGGTTGGAGCAGCTCTGCTCTGAGGACAGGATGAGGGTTGTCCAACCTGGAGAAGAAGAGGCTTCGGGGAGACCTAATAAAACCTGAGGGGGGGCTACAGGAAGGTTGGGGAGAACCTGTTTCCAAAACGGGATGAGGGGAAACTGGAGAAGAACAGATTAAGGTTCTTCTGCACCTGGGCTGGAATAATGGTCCTTATCAGCACAGACTGAGGGGTGAGGTGGTGGAAAGCAGCCCTGAGGAAAGAGACTTGGAGGTTCTGGTGAAGGAGAAGGTGGACATGAGCAGACAGTGGGCACTTGAAGCCCAGAAGGTCAATCCCATCTTGGGTTGCATCAACAGAAGAGTTGCCAGCAGGTCCAAAGAGGTGATTCTTCTGCTTTACTCTGGTGAGACCTCACCAGGAGCCCTCAGTAGAGGAAAGACCTGATGGAGAAGGTCCAGAGGAGGACCACGAGGACAATCAGGGGGTTGGAGCAGCTCTGCTCCGAGGACAGGATGAGGGTTGTCCAACCTGGAGAAGAAGAGGCTTCGGGGAGACCTAATAAAACCTGAGGGGGGGCTACAGGAAGGTTGGGGAGAACCTGTTTCCAAAACGGGATGAGGGGAAACTGGAGAAGAACAGATTGAGGTTGGAGATGAGGAGAAAGTTCTTCCCCGTGAGGGTGGTGGAGCCCTGGAAGAAGAGGTTGCCCAAGGAGGTGGTTGAAGCCCCATCCCTGGAGATACTCAAGGTGAAGCTCGATGGGGCAACCTGGTCTAGTTGGGGGGTCCTTGTTGACCACGGGGGGGTGGGATTAGATGACCTTTGGAGGTCCTTTCCCACCTGGACCATCCTATGGTTCTAAGGAGGGTAAGAAGCCCCCCAACTTGGCGGGGGGTGAGGGACGCACCATGACTGGCCAAAATCTCCCCCAGCTGGTTACAAAGCGCCGCCTCCTCCGCCGGGTTCCCGCTGCGCTGGGCTTTCTCCTTCGCCTTCTGCAGCTCTGCCGGGGGGGGGGACAGCACGGTCAGACCCCCCCAGGGACCCAAAGCCCCCGCCCAGGGACCCAGGGATCTCCAGTGAGATCCCTTAAGGACCTGGGAAGTCCCTCAAGGACACAAGGAGACCCCCAAGGACTTGTTGAGCCCATCTAATGATTGAGGACACCCCAGGAAGACCCCCAAGGACTTGATGGGCCCTTCTAATGACCCAGGGACCCCCCCCCAGTAACCAAAAGCCCCCCCAAATG